TAGCGTTATACAAGAGACTAATTTGGAGATACGCAAATTTATGACATTTGCCTCCACAGAATATGATGATATGAGAAAAAAAGATAGCAAAATTAGAAAAAGAACGTTCCGAGTACACTGAAAATTTAATGAAAATGGAAAGAAAAATACTCGATCTACAGGTTAAGTCCCGCACGGCATCAATAGAATTTAGAAATATCCCTATGCAAGAAAGGGAGACGACCGATGACCTGCTTTCCATAGTAAGCAGCGTATGTAATGCTCTGCATATTCCCATCAAACACGATGAAGTGCGGGATGTTTACCGTCTACCGGGTAAACCTGGAACGAATAAAACTATCGTGGCCGAATTTGTAACGGTGCGCGGCAAAAATAATATTTTGTCAGCGGCTAGAAATTTCAATAAAAAGAAACCGACCGAAGAAAAACTTAACTCCGAATCCATTGGGTTATCTGGTAAGCGCATACCAATATATATTTCAGAATATTTACCACCAAGCTCCAAAGCCCTATTTCGAAAAGCTAGAATGTACGCCAAAGACAATAAATATCAATATTGCTGGACGACTAATGGCCAAGTTTTTATCCGAAAATTGACTGGTGAAAGGTCTATTAGAATTGATTCTGATAACTTTTTTCTCTCTAAGCCAACTGAAATGGAGAATGCAGAACCCAATCGAGAAATGTCATTCCAGAGCGATTTGGAGAAATTTAGTCAGCAGAATTAGATTACGTATATATAAATTTAGAATATGCCTTCCAAAACATGTTCTGTCACTCATTTTTTACAGTAAATTTAATCGTATGTATAGAAAATTTTTTAAGTTAATTTTAAGAACAATTTTTAAAACAATTTATGATACTGTGGATACACTTCATCACTATACTCACACTGACCTGGACATCTTCACTTTACTCATCCCAAATATCATCGTGGAAAAACTATTGAAACACATAAACTCAATTACAACCTCACTCATACTCATAAAAATCACATCAATAGCTTGTTTACTTGCATTCCATAATAATATAAACCAAGTACGTATAACAATAATAAGTGCCAATATATCAACCTGTTCGCGGTAATTGATGCAAATGAAAATATCTCAACAGAGTTAGACAACATAGATGTAGCATTGGCTTATGAGTGCGACACTGAAACATGTAACTCACTAATTAAAAATAAGTCTAATTCCCTGAAAATATTCTGTCAAAATATTCGCAGCGTATACAAAAACTCAGATAGTTTACTGGTCCAACTGTCTCGTTTTAAGTTTGAATGTGACATCATTATCTTAACTGAATGCTGGCTGAGTGCCCGTAAACAAATCCCTCAATTTGAAAATTACAATATGTACTATACGCACAAATGTCACAATCAAAACGACGGTATAGTGATATATGTTAAAACAGGTATTAAATGTACAATAAAAGAACCAGAGCCATTAGGAGCTAATTTTATATCTATTAAAATTATTGATCCCGACATTTTCATTTTAGCTTCTTACAGATCTCCGTCGACTCAATGTATTGACAGTTTTTTGAATTCCATAGAAAATATAGTTCGTCCACTGGACTCAACTAAAAACATAATACTAATTGGTGATATTAATATTGACATTAAAGTTAATAACAACGATCGAAGAAGTGAAGCGTACTTAAACCTAACAGCGGAGCTAGGTTTGCTTCCAGGTCACATTTATCCTACTAGGTTACATAGCTGTCTAGATCATGTCATGCTCAAAACTAGTTTGGCAGCATCAGTATTTGTGATTAATAGTACTATAACAGACCATTCTTCAATCCTACTCAGCATTTGCCCTGGCCAGCAAATACCAAAAGAACCAAAGCTTTTTACTAGAATCAACTACGATGCTTGTTTAAAATATTTAGAGACAGTGGACTTTTCATTTATAAACACTTCATCTGATGCAAATGAAGCCGCATTAACTCTTGTAGAAAAGTTGGCTAGTGCAATTTCACTTCACTCCCATTCCCGTCGTGTCCCTAATAAACAAAGAACGCTAAAATCATGGCTAACTCTTGGTCTTTTACGTTGTATTCGACACAGAGACAAACTTCATCGTAAACTTAAAAAAAAGTCCTGAAAATAAAATTCTTGAAATCACTTATAAGCGCTACCGAAATTATTGTAACTCTTTGTTGAGAAACCTAAAACGAAACTACGAAAAGTCACTATTACGTAATGCGAAAACTAATAAAGATACCTGGAATGCAATTAAAATTATAATAAATTACACGAAACAAAAGACGAGTGCTGATAACCTTTTGAGTTCTAATGAAAATGCTGTTCGTGATGTAGAAAACATAAATAAATACTTCTCTAATATTGGTAAAAAACTAGCTAACGCTGCAAATATTTCAAATCAAAATAGCTCTCCATATAATTTCACAATCCCATCGGTTCCTAACTCTTTTGTGCTACTTCCACCAGATGAGGGAGAGGTAGAATCGATTATCAGAAGCTTAAAAAATAACTCTGCTACTGGATGGGACTCTATACCTGTGCAACTTCTCAAATTATCAGTACATCTAGTAGTTCCACCCTTGACTAAACTTATTGAGCTCCGTTATGCGCAAGGAATCTTTCCAAAAGTTTTTAAAAAATCGCTGATCACTCCTGTTCATAAGGATGGATCCCGAGACGAAATTTCCAATTACAGGCCTATTTCAGTACTCTCGTCTATCTCTAAAGTCTTGGAAAAATCATTAAATCATAGACTTATAAAATTTTTAGAACATAATAAAGTAATATCTTCTTCACAATTTGGATTTAGGTCGGGGAAGTCCACTGAAGACGCGGTAATTCAATTGACAGAATTTGTAACATCAAAGGTTGATGCAAAGCAAAAATGTTTGGGGATTTTCCTCGACCTGGCCAAGGCGTTTGATACGGTCTCGATTCCTATCCTTGTGAGCAAGTTAGAACGCGTTGGTATTCGTGGCAATGCACTCATGATTTTTAAGGACTTCCTACGTGACCGTAAACAACAGGTTAAAGTGGGTGAATATGTCAGCCAGGAGGAATCGATTGTATGTGGCGTTCCACAGGGAAGTATACTAGGACCTAGTCTCTTCCTTATCTATATAAATGATTTATGTCAGCAACCTTTAGTAAACGGCAAAATATTTACCTATGCTGATGATACAGCTTTAGTCTTCCATGGTAAGACTTGGGATGAGGCTCGACATAACGCTCAGCTGGGGCTTCACAGAGTTGGCCATTGGCTCGGCGGTAATCTCCTAACTTTAAATATTTCGAAAACTACATACATGCAGTTCTCCTTGGGAAACACTGGATCCGTAAACCTTGATCTTACGGTCCACTCGTGTACTAACCCTTTCAATACTATCCCCTCATGTTCATGTCTTGCAATTACTAAATCCAATAGTGTCAAATATCTTGGTGTAGTACTGGACGACAAACTTAACTGGCGCTCACACATACATAGAGCTTACAACTGAACGTACTAGAAAACTTATTTGGGTGTTTAAAAAGTTAAGATACACTGCTGATTTACCTCTCTTGCGTTCAATTTACTATGCTTTAGTTCAGTCTGTAATAGGGTACTGTATAAACGTCTGGGGAGGAGCCTGTAAGACCTTTCTAATCCGCCTGGAAAGGGCACAAAGATCCCTCTTAAAAGTCATGGCATTTAGGCCGTACAGATTTCCCACTAAAGAATTGTATGAGATATGTCGAGTATTAACTGTGAGGCAACTGTACATTTTCAAGTTAATTACTAAATAGCATATGATTACCATTTATAATGCCACTGATTATAACAAAAACCGGGTTATAAAAAATGTATGTTTACCAATAACATGTCGAACAGCCTCTGCTAGACGGCAACATGCATATAAAGCTATATATTTATACAACAAAATTAATAAGTTAACAAATATATATCCCTTAACTAGTAGAAAAGTGAAAATTAAAATTAAGAATTGGCTATTAGGATTAGATTATGAACAAACTGAATCGATATTAGTATAAAAAAAATTGTTTAAATCTTAAATTTCATCCACACACGAACACACGCAAACGCACGACACTCGCGCGCACTCACACACACACACACACGCACGTACACAAGCACACACCCACACACACGCACATGCACACACGCACATACAGATTTTAAAATTGCTTTATTTACATAAAATAAGTAGCTGTCATTATATTAGGGAGATCGCTGACTCTCGTAACACAGGTTTTCTAACCTAGCTCGGGAGTCAGAGGCTTAAATAATATTGTAACAAAATTTTATGTCAATAAAGAATATTATTATTATTATTATTATTACTTTTTTCAAGTGTACAAAGTATTAGTGATCACATAAAGAACATCAATGTAGAAGCAGTGCGGGAAACTTTTTTGAATGAAATTGAAACGGTGGATTCTTTGCGGACTGATTACGAAAGAATATTAGACCAAATTAATCATTTGGAATTACTAATCGACCCGAAATACATAGTGAACTACCAACCGCTTCTAACATTTGAAGATATGTTGTGTCGCGTGAAAAGAACGGCGAAACTCTTACAATCTCAAAACGAAGCAAAGCCGGAAATACAGGTACGTCCACGTGACTCAATTAGGTTGCCGCCAATAGATATTCCGGCATTCAATGGTGATATTAGGACATGGCCCTTCTTCTTCAGTAGTTTTCAAAACAATATACACAGTAACCTATCGTTATCGGACGCTGAAAAATTATATTACTTAATTAGTAAACTTAGTGGCAGGGCACAGTCAATTTGCTCGGGATTTACACCTACGGCAAAGAATTACTTGTTAATATTCGAAACGCTTAAAACTAAATATGAAGATAGGAGAATGTAAGCTTCCGAATATTTGAACCAGATATTCGATCTTAAAACTATATCATCCGCGAACATCAACGGCTTAGAGCAGTTTTTAGATAAATTTGTGGCATCGGTGGCTGCACTTAAGAATTTTGAATTTTAATGACCTTATGGACGTGGTGTTTCTCCATATTGCACTAAAGAAATTAGACCCCGACACCGTGCGTGCGTTTGAAATGGAGCATCGTAGCTCGGAGATGCCTTCCTTTCATTCATTTGCATCGTTCGTGCGAGATCAAATAAAGGTAATGCAGCGCTCTCCGAACGTTAAACAGGAGATTAAAAGGTGCGTCGACCGTAGACAGACTCAACCATCTAAAATAGCAGGGTCGTTAACTTACGTAACCGCTACGTCAGCATCACTTCAGCATGCTTGCATCGTATGTAAAGATAAACACGGTAATTTATATAATTGTGCGACTTTTCGTAAATATTCACCAAGCGAACGTTATAAATTAGTAAAGACAAACAACCTATGTCTGAACTGCTTAAGTGATAAACATTTAGTTGCAAAATGCAATTCGCGTTCCGTATGTAGCACGTGCGCCAGGAAATATCACACGCTATTACATTTTGAAAATAGCAACATAGCGGCGTCAAGTAAAGCGGACAAGGAATTCACCCCTACTAAAGTCAACGATTCTAGCGGTCGACCTGGTGATGTCGCTCTGTGCTCATTGGCAAATATGGGAGCACAACCTCCTTCAACCGTGTTACTGGGTACGGCGCGTATTTTGGTTAGGGATTCGCGTGGAAACGAACAAAGCGTCCGTACACTGCTGGACAGCGGAGCCCAAAATAGCTTTATAACGCGACAATGTTATCAGCGCTTAGGCTTAGTAATAAATAGGTCACTTTCGTGTCCTGTAGAAAAAGGCATCGGAGGTACTAGTAAAGCTAGCCAGGGATATATAAATTTAAAATTTTATTCTCGGATAGATCGTAATGTTAACTTTGATATAAATGCACTAGTAGTGGATAGGGTCACTGAACGGCTGCCAACCGTTTCGGTTGACACCTCGGCAATGATTGAATTTAAAAATTTGACTCTAGCGGACGACACTTACGCCGTTCCTGGAAACATAGACATGCTCATTGGAGCATCGCTTTTCCCTCATCTTTTGCTAAACAATAAGGTCAGGGGCAACTCCTCGCATACCGCGCCTTACGCACTGGAAACCGTATTGGGCTACGTCATCGTTGGCTCCGCCCCCATCATGGATAGTATTTCGGCAACCTCTTATTGTGGTATGGCTGTCGAACCGCTCGAGTCGTTAGTCCGCAAATTTTGGGAGATGGAGGAGGTGAACGTCCCACCCATAGCTAGCTCAGATGACAGATTATGCGAGGAAATTAACGTCCGCACGACCGTTCGTGATCGCGACGGTAGATATAGTGTAGCGCTACCTTTTAAAGGAGATGTTTTATCTCTCGGCGATTCGCGGCAAATGGCGGAAAAACGTTTCTACAGCTTGGAGCTTAAAAGAAGCTTATGACGGCGTCATTAACGAATATATAAGAGAAGGTTACATGTCACTCGTGGCTTCGAAATTAGATAACTACGAAGACACACCGTCGTATTTCATACCACACCACGGGGTCATTAGGGAGGACAAACTTACATCTAAGTTACGTATAGTGTGGTATAGTGCTCGACGCTAGTGCTAAAACTAGCACTCACCTGTCGCTTAACGATATCCTCTATAGTGGGCAAAATTTACAGGGCAGTTTATTTAATATAATAGCCAATTTTCGTTTGTTTAGTATAGTACTATCCGCCGATATTCGCCAAATGTTTCTTTGCATAGGGGTCCGTGAATGCGACCGTAGATTCCAACGCATTTTATATCGTTTCAACCCAAAGGAACCTCTAATGGTGTTTGAATTTAACCGCGTTTGTTTTGGTTTAAAGTCGAGCCCATTTCATGCGTTACGCACGGTGAAACAGCTCGCCCACTATGAAGATCCCTCTTACCCTAAAGCTAAGAGGGCAATTGAGAGCGGTTTATAAATGGATGATTTTGTATACTCGGTCGATAGCGTGGAGGAGGCCATCCTAACCACCGCCGAGGTTATAAGGCTCATGAAATCGGGTCAATTCTATCTTGTGAAGTGGACTAGTAATTCGCGTCCGGTTTTAGATACAATCCCACTATCACACCGTCTTTCGACGATAAAGGAATTCGACGATTCTGATACACACAAGGTGCTCGGTCTGTGTTGGTCACCAGAGTCCGACGTGTTTAGCCTTAAGGTAAATCCGCCCGTAGAGAAATGCACAAAGCGCACAATACTGTCATGCGTTGCTAGATTATGGGACGTCATGGGTTTCGTAGCTCCGGTGGTATTATACGCTAAGCTTTTGATTTAACAACTTTGGTTATTTGAATGCGATTGGAATGACTCGCCGCCTGACAGCATTGTTCGGTTGTGGCAGCGTTTTAGAGAGGAACTTCCTTTACTAAGAGAAATTAAAATACCGCGTCATATAAACGTCGAAAGAAATAGCGTCATAACGGTCGTTGGGTTTGCAGATGCCAGCGAGAAGGCTTACGGGGGCGTTGTATATTTCCACGTCCAGAATAATGGTAGAAATTCGATTAGCCTCATTAGTTCTAAGTCGAGAGTCTCCACCCGTAAGGTTGTCTCTCTGGCGCGCTTAGAGCTTTGCGCAATATTAGTACTCACCAAGCTTATTACCGCAGTTATATGCGCATGTAGGGATAGAGTTCACATAGAAAGGATATTTGCCTTTTCCGACTCCACCGTCGCCTTATGCTGGGTTCATTCGTCACCCCACCGTTGGGATACGTTTGTCACGAACCGAGTGGCCAAGATCCAAGACGAGTTAGAAACGCGGAACTTTTATCACGTGTCCGGTAGGGAAAACCCTGCCGATTGTCTATCCCGTGGACTCACCCCGATGCAAATAATGGACCACCCGCTTTGGTTCCACGGACCTTCTTGGGTTCACTTGGATCCCTCGCAATGACCAATAACCGATTTCGAACCTTCATCAGTCACAACCGCCGGAAGAGAAGAGACACGCTCTGGTGGCGAACGTTTCGAGCGAGGTTTCTCCAATCATTGCTTTGGCGAACCGCTTGTCCTCTTGGTCGAAATTATTGCGTAGCGTAATTTACGTTTGTCGATTCGCGAAGCTTTTACCGCGACGTTCGTATGTCTTAGCGTCCGATTACAACTATGCCGAGTCGCTAGTATTACGTGAACTTCAACGTGCACACTTCTCTGAAGAAATTACAAGATTACAATCGAATAGAGCTTGTAGTCGCGCCTTTCAACGCCTTAAGCCATTTTTACAGGATGGGATTGTAAGGGTAGGTGGACGCTTGTCCAACTCGCAGTTGAGTTTCGACCAACGGCACCCTATAGTTTTACCGCGCAAAGACCATATCATGAATTTGTTAGTCGACTACCATCATAAACTGAATTCGCACGCTGGCCCCGACTTGCTGATGTCGATCTTGCGTCAGAATTATTGGATTCTTTCTGCACGTAGTTTAATACGCAATCGGGTGCACAGATGTATAGCTTGCTTTCGGGCACGCCCCAAGCCATTTCCGGAAATGGCGGAACTTAGATCTTGTAGAGTAATACAATCAGTAAAGCCCTTTACGCACACCGGGTCTGATTTCGCTGGTCCGTTTAAGGTCACGCTCACTCGCGGGCGTGGTATAAGATCCACAAAGGCTTACGTCTGCATTTTCGTATGTCTAACTACTCGAGCGGTGCATATAGAACTCGTTGGTGATCTAAGCACAGCAGGCTTTATGGGCGCATTTAAAAGATTTCTATCCCGCCGTGGCCCTGTAAGTAAATTATATTCGGATAACGGTACGAACTACGTCGCAAAACGTATTTTATCAGAACTACATGAGCTCTTAGCTAGCAAGTATTATAATTCGGAGTTCGCTCACATTCTAGCCGAGAACCGCATTGAGTGGTCTCTGAACGTCCCAGCCGCGAGTCATTTTGGGAGCAATTGGGAGACTAATATTAAGAGTCTAAAGAGTCACTTATACCGAGTAATAGGAGATCAAATTTTGTCCTTCGAAGAGCTAAGTACGGTGCTCGCTCAATTTGAATGCGTAATGAATAGCCGCCCACTTTGTCGTACGTTGTCTAGTGACCCCTCGGAACCGCTGGCTCTAACTCCAGCACATTTTTTAAATTTGACGCCTTTAAAGTATTTGCCCGCCGTAGATATGGATGAGAACAGACTTAGCATTTCCGCACGCCACAAATTATTAGACCGGTTAGTGAAATCGTTTTGGAAACGATGGAGAATGGAATACTTGCATACTTTGCAGTCTCGGCAAAAATGGAACACAGCAACTGAGCCTTTAGCTGTAGGAACTGTAGTTGTGCTCACCAAAGAGAATACGCCGCCTCTCCACTGGTCGTTAGGAATTGTCGAAGAGGTCTTTCCCGGTTCCGACGGAGTAATTAGGGTAGCTCGCGTTAAGACCACGGTTGGGTCTTACCTGCGTCCTGTTGTCCGTTTGTGCACCCTGCCTCTTCCATAATTTAAATTAGTTTTCTAGATTAGAAATTGTAGTTGAATTTAGGTAATCTTAGCGTTAATTAGTTATTTTGTTAGTTTGATCTTAGCTCTAGTTGTTTTAGTTATTTTTTGAAGGAAATCCTTCAAAGGCGGGGGTGAATGTTGCGCGGAAAACCATTCGTATTTATTTATTTTGACGGTAGGCTGCCAAATCGCTTATCCCTTTCCAAAACGATATCATTCCTACCCTCCTATCGACACATCGGGGTGGTGGGGTGGGAGGGGAAAGAAGATGATTCCAGAATATCACGTAATCATCGCAACCGAAGGTATAAAAGGCACGCGCGACCGACGCGCACCCTCTTCCCGCCGCGCTCATCGTTGGAACCACACCGCCTAGGATAATAGTGTCCTAAAAAGCTCTTCCCGCCGCGCTCGTTGTTGGAACCACACCGCTAGTAGAACCGCTTTAGCCTGGAAGCAGTCGAGCTCCAGGAAACTCGCCTCACCTCGTGTGAGATATAGTCGCGCACCGCCTCTCTCCAGAGTGTCTGTCCAGAAGAAGTTCCAGAAGTCGCAGCTATAGTGCCCAACAGCATAGAAGAGACACCCCGGTGAGTGAATATTCCTAATAATATTGCCTGCTTGATATAATTGTGTTTAACCCGCTCCAATTTTGTTTTCTCCTAATCAAGCAGGATTCCTTTCATCGATTTGGCAAATAATAGTTCGTTTTTAGGGAAGAGCGAGTGCATTGTACCGCATGCTATAGTCGCCGTTTATATAAGTGTAGAAACATTTTGTAGATACAGTCCACTTAGATTAATAGCTCGCGTAATAGGTTTTAAGGTTCGACCGGGGAATTAGACTTCGGCAACCTTAGGCTCGACGCTCCATCATAACCATTTACGTAAATCCGAAGAATTATAAATTTATCCATATTTCATTACAACGTGTATAGTTTTTTTATCACTAATTTTAATTTGAATCTTTCAAACAAAGCAAAATATTAAAAAATAACCAGTATTAACTTTTTGTACTTGACGTCGGTTCAATGATATATCGCTATGTACATTACCGTAGTGTTTGGATGATTAAAATTCATTGTTATGCGAATAATCGGCAAAAACATACAAATAATCGAATCATCAATTTGTTAATGTATTATTTGTTTAATTTAATTTAATTTTTAAAAGTCCTTAAATTATATGAATCATGAATAAAAGAAGTTCATTTTTTTAAATTTGTCAACGTAAATTTGAATAGGCATATAAACTCATATACAAGGCCGCGATATAAAACCCACTACGTAATTTCATTATCCCGCCATTTCGGGAGCTTACTGTGCGTAATTTTGTGATTTTGTGTGTAACTTCTTATTTTGTGACTCGGCTTTAGCTTTTTGGACTGTTTCTTCTATATTAGCATGTGCCCATGTCACAAAGGATCTTTAGGCAAAAGTGGTAGAAAAAACAAAAAAAAAATATTTTGGATGACTCTGAAAGAGAGATTTGAAAGAAGCTAACTAGTTGTACTGTAAGTACATACATACATACATAAACACTCACGCCTGTCACCCAGAGGGGTAGGCAGAGACTACGGACTTCCATTTGGCACGATCCTGACATACCTCTTTCGCCTCCTTTACATCCATATATCTACGCATACATGCTCGTCGGTTAAGGGTACTTCTAACGTGGCCCATTTTCAAAATATCGCCAATTTGGTCGATAAACTTTTTCCTAGGGCGTCCCTTCCCGACTCGGCCATTCACATCTGCCATATAAATTTGCTTTGTCACTCTTTCCTCATTCATTCTTTCTACGTGACCAAACCACCGAAGCATTCCTTTCTTAATCCTGGTCACAACATCATCTTGCATACCACATTTATCTCTTATCACGCAATTTCTCACCCTGTCATTCAGATTACACCCTAGCATATTCCTTAAAGACCGCATTTCTACAGCAT